CGAAAACAAAACCGGTTGCAACCATGTTGTCAAAGTAGCAGCAAAAAGAGCCAATGTGATGTACTGCCCGCTTGTTTGTTTGAGAGCTTGAACAACTACTGACAAGTGAAGAAATGCATGGATGAAATGTTGATGTGTGGTTCAGTTGCCTCTATATGCATTGAATACAAACTGATGATTATTTGCGATGCATTTATGTGAAGCAGTATTTTATTGGTGTTGCTGGTTAAGATAAGTATGATGTAACTATTTTATAGACTAATATGTAGCTTTATCAATAATGCCGTGCCACATTTTATAAGCTATTTGTTTTGAATGTAAAGTAGTGAAGTGGGAGTTTAAACTAACAGAGATTTATGCCCGGGCAGCCGAAAATTATGTTTTGTGTGCACACTTTTGGGCCTTTGGGGACTCCGTAGAATCACCGCAGACAATTACATTTCAGGAAGTTACTTTGAAACTTGCATGTAAAGTTTCACGCTATGTTTTGCTAAATGAAAGTTAAAACGTTTCACTATCACTCATATCACTTTGTCTGATCTCTCTCTCTCTCTCTCTCTCTCTCTCTCTCTCTCTCTCTCGCTCTCGCTCTCGCTCTCGCTCTCGCTCTCGCTCTCGCTCTCGCTCTCGCTCTCGCTCTCGCTCTCTCTCTCTCTCTCGCCCTGTAATGAGTTGATTCAACTTCTTAATGTCAGTCTAAATAATACAATTATGTTGGTCATGGGCGTAGGAAGCATCCTGAATGTGGGGGGGACATTTTTAACGGGTAAAATAAGATATAAATGAACCAGCAACAATCTTGCCTAGGGCAGCAAATTGGTCAGAACCGGCCCTGGTGTCATCCCCACAGCACCCCCCATTTGAAACATGTTCCCACGGCTATGTTTTCATATTTAAGTTTGTAGCGAGTAGAGGGCTGCTGGCAGGCCCAGACTGGCCATCGGGAGGGCCGGGAGGTTTCCCGATGGCCTTAATGTAGGCTATTGTGAACGCAACGCTGCGCAAATGTGGGTTTGCCTCACACAGGGTGACTCTGTCTACATGATGTGGCATCTGTTTCATATGGGTGTTTCCATAGATCTAGTCTCTTTATTTTCCCCTCAAAATGCACCAGATTGATGCATTTAACTCCAAAATTAAAAAAATATCTTACCAGGGGGGGCATGCCCCCGGACCCCCCTAGAGGATTTGAGGTCCACCCCAAAATATGTTCACATGGATAGGTTCCCAAATACATTTGCAATTTTTTTTAAATAGTAACCCCTGTCCATATGTTTATTATTGGTGTGTGTGTGTGTGTGTGTGTGTGTGTGTGTGTGTGTGTGTGTGTTGTGTGTGTGTGTGTGTGTGTGTGTGTGTGTGTGTGTGTGTGTGTGTGTGTGTGTGTGTGTGTGTTTGAGTTTGAGTGTGTGTGTGTGTGCGCGTTAGTTTCAAAGACCCCCATAGAGCTCAGTTTATAACTCGAACCCTGGACATGGCACTTCCTGGCTTGTACAGTTTTCTTTTTGGTCTATGAGACAGTTCTAAGGACATATCCTGACCAAATGCTCTGTATTTACCGAGGTAACTAAAACACCGCTCCTCACATGCGTGGAGCAGCGTGTGTGTTTTTGCGCGCGTGTGTGCAGGGCGGTGCAGCAGCAGAGAGACAACCCCCGGCTGCCGGCTGGTTCGAGATGAGCTGTTATTCGTGGTGACCGACCGGCAGTTGTTTTATTTAAAGTGGAGAGTTTGGAGCTTTGTTTTTATGGCTAATAGCACAACAATATCCAAAAGACACACTTTTTTAATCCCGGAAATTTGACTGCGGCTGCTGGAGCTAACTCACCTGGATCCGTAATGGAGCGGCAGAGAGTAGCATGATTGAACACTTTAATTGTAGGAAATAATTATTGAATGCGCTGTCTGCTCGTCCTGGTTTTTTTTCACAACACTTTGTGCATCCTCTGAGCTGAGTCATGGTTGGTGGAGGATCCGCTGATCTGGCTCCATCAGTCGCTGTCAAAGTCTTCTCCGCTGGAGCAGCTGGCTGTGTGGCCGACCTGGTCACCTTCCCTCTGGACACAGCCAAAGTGCGACTGCAGGTGAGCAGCATCACCTCAAGTGTATGAATTATCCCCCCAACATATTATAGCCACCTAAAACATCTGTAGCCTATCCTTTGTTTTCATTTACCTGTGTTAGCTAGCTGGATATAAACTGTCAAAACCATGGGCGTAGGAAGCATCCTGAATGTGGGGGGGACATTTTTAACGGGGGGTGTGGGGGCGAAAAAAAATATAGATTTCCTGTATTCCGGTGCATTTTAACAGGTGGTTTGATACTTTTATGTGGCTATACTAGCATGAGGAAAGTGATGGGTACATTTTGTAATTTCATCCAGTAGTAAAGAAAGGAAACATATTTGATTATTAATTCAGAGCCGTCTTTGAATTAATAAAAAGCAGTTTAAATGCCCATTGTTTGTACATTTATATACAACAATAATTATTTGTGAGTGCATTGAGAGATATTGTTGTGGAGAGTCATTTATATATAAATCGCAAAATACATTTGTGAATCCTTCTGTGAGCATTTATTAATATTGAGACTGATCTGACTCCATACGGATGTTAAGTTCACCTAGGAATGGTATCATTGACTTAAATGTTCAAATAAATGTTGCTCTTCTGTCTATATTGGTCATATGATGCACCTTGACTGAAATGTTTCCTGTTCAAGATCCCCACTGATTTCCTTAAAATCCTGGGATGAGAGTCCACATCACAATTTACTCTCAACTGTCATTTCCCTTTCATCACTCACCTCAGCAATGGACCTCTCTCCACTGTCCCTGTATTCTGCCTCTGACTCACTCTCAAGTGCCTAGATGTCAAGAGAGGTGGTGAAGTGATAATTATTTATTGAGCAGTATATTCTTTCACATTGAATCATAACAAGTCATACTGAATGTAAATACAACTGACTCTAAAGTAAGTCGCAGTCTGTGACATTGGACATTTTGAAGACTCAAAGTCCCAAGCAGTAGGTAGAATATTCTATGTAATGTGCACAGAAAATAAATAGTTAACTGAATACTGGGATGGAAATAGCCTATAAGCACTCAGTAAAACATAAACACACACAAAAAGCTTCTGAATGATAAGAAGTATAATTAAAACATAATGCACATTACCATTTTGAGAGAGAGTACCTAAATTAAAGAACTCATAAAATAATCTCTTATCGAACTGAGGCTCCAGTAAAACACACTGACTGCGTCTCTACATGGACATCAGTAAGCCGTTTATGAGTATTATATGGTGTTTACATGAGCACAGAGAGATCGGGTTATTCATGTTCCCTGTTTACATGATAAATACTAGTAACCTGGCATTTCGATGCCTTTTTCTCATCTAAACTATTCAGTATTTGTATTTCTCTATCATGACATAAAGACGAAACTCCTCTCCAGAATTGAGACGCCGCCATCACTGTTAACTGATTAACTGCTACCAGCTGATGACTTATTTTCCTCTTCTTTGAAAAAAATGTTCTTATGTCCATGTGTCTGGGGGAGAAAACATCTCACACCAAGAGATCGTCAGCTTTGATTTTCGCTGTATTAACCATTTCCGAACATTTGGTGTGTGTGCCTTACCTCCGGCTACCGGCATCGCTTCAACAACAGATCTGAGCTGTCCAACTATGACAACACTCCTTGACATGCGCGCGCTATGTGAGAATCTGCCTTGGTACAAAGTAGCAGTGATAAAACATGGAACGGAGTTTCATTGATTGGGCATTTCTCTCAATAAGCAAGTGGAATGGATTTCATTTGATAGTGAAGCACTGACACAGCGCTCTACAAAGTGCGGCGAGTGGATAGACCGATTCATGGACTTTCCGCATAGTAAAAGTGGGGGGGTCTAAACTAACCATTTGAAAAAGTGGGGGGGACTTGTCCCACCCTCATATAATGGCTGCGACGCCCATGGTCAAAACACTTTACCAATGCTGGGATATAACTTATTGGTTAAAAGATACACACGTTTTTCCATTTTGTAGTTATTTCCTCTTCTACTTCAATACATTTTTAACTGATAACATCCCCCTCCTCAAGTCTCTACAATCCCCAAATTCATTGAACAAGACAAGTCCTCAGTGGTATCGGCATCTGCTTCTTGCTTTGGTTTTACTGTAGGCAGGCACTGTACAGGGGGAACAACATAACACCAGTGCTTGTTGCTACATGTCAAACCTATGGCGTAACACTTAACATACGAGGAAATCGCTATGTCCATCAACGCCATAAGAGACTGATATTAAAGGCACATTTTGATTTGATCTCAAGTGACCTTTTTGAAACTTGTTTATTCATGTCACTTCAGATTCAAGGTGAATCTAAGCCCTCATTGGAAGCCCAGAGGATGAAATTCCGAGGTGTGTTCGGCACCATCTTCACCATGGTGAAGACCGAGGGCCCCAGGAGCCTGTACAGCGGTCTGGTGGCAGGCCTGCACCGACAGATGAGCTTCGCCTCCGTACGCATCGGCCTGTACGACAGCATGAAGCAGTTCTACAGCAGAGGCTCAGAAAGTAGGCTATGTGTCCAAGTTTTAACAGACAGTCAACCAATCAGTGCAGCTCTTTCCATCACTTATTCTGACCTGCAGTTGCAAACAAAATTATTGCTGGGATTAAACATGTCACCTTCAAGATGCTTCAGTGCAGGGGTACTCAAACGCTATGCATGGGGCCCCCTTGAGGGGGTTTCCCGGCATGTCGTTGCAGTACATTAAAGGGTGTTTCATGTTGTCGTTGCTGTGGACCAGGGTGCACAGACATTTTGGGGGCGGGTGCTCAAGTGAGAAAAAGGGCACTTCCCATAATCATTTATAAAAAAAAAATGTAAAACAAAAAGTTAAATATAGTTGCACATCTCTGACTTACTGACCAATTTATTTTAATACCCTCACACTCACGTAATTGTTTAATACTCAGCAGAATTCTACAAAATAATCAGCTAACACAGAGACAATGGCCTTCTTTATTATTCACTAAGCACAAGAGCAGACAACAAACTAGTACAATTAATAGTTATTAAATGAGCAGCCAACAATCAAAATTATGAAGTTACTGTTTAAGGACATTACAGGCAAAAAGATCGTTTTTTCATGTAGCCTACTTGTTATTTTAGTCTATTTTGCATATGTTTTCTTTCACTGTAATGGAAATAAAACTTCCAAGAAACACATATAAATGGTGTTCGTTTTACTACCATGTCTGAATTCATCTATAGATTTAAAGCTAATCTGCATTTAAACATAACATTTCCGGGGGAAATACTGACTTGACGTAAGTAACTATCTGGGGAAGTTGTGAGGTGATATGTTTTTTTGTTTTATCCTTTTCACCTGCTATGCCTTGGTAACTGCATGCAAATTAGCGCATTTTAATTAGGCCTAGTTAACGCCTAATTTGCATATCAATGTGGCGATTGTGATGATGTTATTAGATACACATTTTACTGTATTCACTTGAAGTGTCTCCCCTTAAGTACAGTACATTAGCCTGTATGCCCATGATAAATTGCCTTAGCTAAACCTTGAGCTAACTTATCCACTAGCTACTACCTACCTTAGTTAACTATATTTGTTATTGTCTTTTAGCTAATTAGCTGTAAACTCGAGGCACTGGCAGTTTAGTAATTTGTTCATCACCACTCACCTTCAAAATAAGCCAAGAAAAGCTGGCATAACATGGGACAGTAAAGTGGGAGGTGCTGCTACCTGTCTGTCTGAAGTGACTGCCGATGTCCGCACCGCTGTGCAGGAGACGTGGAGGGAGGGAGGGAGAGCTACGGAACTTCACCGGTTAATCTCCCGACCTGATATTTTGTATTCAATCAATATATTTTTGGAAAGGGAAACTGTGCGCAAACAGCAGTAGATATATATTCATTTATAAAAATTAAAAAAGGGGGAAAAAAGGGCACTTTCTCTGGAGGAAGAAAAAGGGCAGGGGCTCAAGCCCACTTTGATGTCTATGTGTGCACGTGCCTGCTGTGGACCTTCTTAATCTACCTTCTTTGGGGGCCCCCTTCTGGTCCAAGCACTTGCCTGCCTTGCCTGTCGGCAAACGGCGCCCCTGTATACACACACACACATTCAATACATACATACAGTATGGTGGCTTGAACTAGTGGGAGAAATGGTACTGTTTGTCTTTAGCCAATGCCTTGAACCTCTGCAAAAAAGGCATTAGAAGCATTAGAAAGTCAAGGTAAACTTGCGGTTAACTTGCGGTCTGCAATGCGTGTCACGCTCGCGCACACAAGTAAATATATATGCACGTTCATTTTCACAACGCGTCAGACACAAGAAAATATACAGTAATTTACATCAGAATCAGAATTCCTTTTTTTTTGTATAATTTTTTTATTTTATAATGGGACACAGGACAGGATAGTCCGGATTGATTTGCAGTTCGGTCCGGATCCGGACCTTGGTCCGGAGTTTGAGAAGCCCTGCTTTAGTGCATGTGTGGCGAGACTGCATCATCCTATTACTGATGCTGTAGGATAAATACAACACATTTCTCATCATAAAGCTGGACGTTTGGGCTCGCCATTTACAGAAAGACCGCTCCAGGATGCAGGGCAAAGGTCAAATTCCTGTTTCAGGGATTATATTTGTGTTTTTGCCTAAGGACTGTTCTGTTCCACCTCTGACACATGATAAGCTTAAACTACTTCTTCACTCCAGGTTCAGTCTTCATATCAGTGTACGCCTGCAGGGAACCAGTCAAACCAGTTTGACTGGAGAATAGTTCCTGTCATCTTTGTGTCCTCAAAGTAAACAATGTGCTCCTTCAGCAGCTATTGGTGCCTTGGGTGTTAAATTATTAAAAAGCTAAATTAAAGCTATAGATTTAAAGGAAATCCAGGATGTAGTTATTTCTTGTTGATGGTTTGTATGTTAAATATTTAATTCAAAGGCATATAAAACCCAGACAGTGCCTAAACACAGTTCTGCTCCTGTAAACCAATAATTTCCCAATTTGGGATCTCTATCTATCTATCTATCTATCTATCTATCTATCTATCTATGTGTCGTCCTAATTCAATAAATATTGAATAATTATCAAAACTGCACCCTTGTTCAGTCTCTAAGCATTGTGTTAACATCCATGTGTTGCATCAGAGAAAAACAAGCGCCTCTGCTTGTATCACAGGTGCAGGAATCGGGACTAGGATAATGGCGGGCTGCACCACCGGGGCGATGGCGGTGACCTTCGCGCAGCCCACTGATGTGGTGAAAATCAGGTTCCAGGCTCAGAGCCGCCTGCTGGAGAGCGGCTCTGTGAAGAGATACAGCAGCACCTTCGACGCCTACAGGGCCATCGCCAGGGACGAGGGCGTCAGAGGGCTCTGGAAAGGTAACTTGATGTTGGGAAAATGAATTCCTGTTGCAAAGTCAGTGAAAATCCTCAAATGTTAAGCAGCACTGCAGTGATTTTCACTCAGCCGACATTTTAGAAATCAAGTTAACATCCTCGACCTATATTTTTACATCTTTTGTCAATGATGTTGAACCTGAAAAAAGCCCCTCCTTAAAGGTCCCATGTCATGCTTTTCTTATTATTACCCGTCCCCTTGTGTGTTATGAAGGTTTTTATGCATGTAAACGGTCTGCAGAGTCAAAAACCCTCAAAGTACACCCTGTAGCGAGTAAAACTCTAACACAGAAAAGACCTGTCTATGCTGCCCCAGAATGCCTCGTTGGACATTTCTCTTTTTCTATTTGTTTCTTTCGGGAACCAAAATGGACCAATCCGCGGAGCTCCTCACACACCAGGACCTTTAGCGTACATTTTCAACTAACAGGGAGTCCCATTGACTTGCATAGAGCTCCCTGGTTGGTAATAGACGAGTTGGGATTGCGGAGAAATTCTCTCTGCAGACCCATTCTCACAGCGTTTATAAACCTTTTTCTTACTCAATATCAAGCCACACTTATTGTTTTTACTTCGGCTGTGAGTGTTTGTGTATGCTCAGGATGAGTTTCGCGCTGTCTCGCTGTATCGCCGACCCGGAAACCACACCAGTAAGCCAGATCATTGAGCAGCGAGTCTCGCAACGTCCCGACCAATCAGAGCACACTGGGCTCACAGGGAGGGGGGGGGGGCAGGAGCTCCAACAAGCCGTTTAGGACAGAGAGTGAATACCGGTGAATACACATACTTTACAGAGATGCTGTATGAGAAACCAATATGAGTTTGGAAAATTGCACAATATAAATCTATTTTAGTATACCTCAACAATGGAATTATGATCAGTAGAAATGGCCATGATATGGGATCTTTAAAGGGGGACCCTAGTCATTTTACACATCAACATTTGTTTGCAGACCTTGAAAAGAAATACAGCAAATGTGAAAGGTGCTATAATCCTGTTGTTGCTAAAACTTGATAAATAGCCTCAAGCGATTTCATTTGAGACAAATAAACCTAGTGGTGTGGAGTTGGAAAGTAAAGAGCTTTTCGACTTGCACAACACACAGTAGTCAGCAGTTGGAGTTGCATTGTGGGCAATATTGAAGCCAGGAAATGACAAGGAGAATGTGTACATTAAAATCAAAAGATATCTCTTAATCTAAAATCTTGAACTGTCTTTTCAGGTGCCTTGCCAAACATAACTCGTAATGCCATCGTCAACTGCTCCGAGCTGGTGACGTATGACATCATCAAAGAGCTCATCCTGAAGAACAAGCTGATGACAGGTCAGTCGTGACACTTAACATGACTCCTCAGCATTTCCGACACTTTATATCACTTACTGTGGTCCCTAAAGAACACTTTGTTTCCAACAGACAACATGCCGTGTCACTTTGTAGCCGGCTTCGCAGCAGGTTTCTGTACCACCATTGTAGCGTCTCCCGTGGATGTGGTGAAAACACGCTTCATGAATTCAATGCCTGGGAAGTACAGCGGGGCGATGAACTGTGCTTTAACCATGCTGATGAAAGAGGGACCCACAGCTTTCTATAAGGGGTATGTAACAGTGTGCATGTCAGATTCAGTAGTACAAATGTTTGACAGAGCAAAAAGTCAATGTAAACCGACATTTTTGTTTTTATTCCTCTGATTCCTTTTTAGATTTGTGCCCTCGTTTCTTCGTCTGGGTTCCTGGAACATTGTGATGTTTGTGAGCTTCGAGCAGATTAAGAGAGGTGTCATGAGATTTCAACAGTCCATGGAGCCTTCACTCTGATCCGTCTGACAGCTGGTTGGCATTGAACTAGTGTTGTGTGGCAAAGCCAGGAGCGTTTGTATCAAGCAGCTCCTGCTAAACAGAGAAAATATGTTTTCTGCTACTGGTCAGACCTGCCTTCTCTCAGGGATTAAACGGCACAAGTGTCTTATTAAAAAATAACTGCAGGGAAGATCCTTTTGGATTGTTACTGACTTGTTATTCAAATAGATATTTTCTAGCAATGTTACTAAACATTTTCAAAATGGAGAACAAGGCCTATTTCCTAAGTCCAGTGTGGTGTTGATGCGGGGCCTGTCATCGTTACAGCTTTCTATTCAGAATTTTTTAGTTGTAGTAATTTAAAGTGTCTCGTTGGGTTTTGTAAATTATATTAGATTTTTCATGTGAAGAGATTTTTTTACATTTTTTAGGAATTAGGGTTTCAAGGAGTTTTTTTTTAATAGATTTATTTTTGCAATTAATCAATTAAGCTTTTAATAGAAGAAAAACTTTATTCTCCTGCAGGGAAATTAATTTGGGATCTACGCTGCTGCATCACACAACACACTTGTCAAAAACGTCACAACGGATTTCAAATTGTAAAATAGATATTACATTCATGCATACATTGAAACTTTCAAATGTCAAAATATTGTAAAAAATATTTGTCACAATCTCATCATTTGTCTTGTTTTGTCTGACCTATACTCCAAAACAGACAGACATTTAGTCTGACTCTTACGAAAGACAAGAAAAGGACGCAAAACATCAGAATTGAGAAGCTGGACCTGGGGAACATTTGATAATTTATTTTATGTCAATTGACTGGTTGATTGGTTGATATTCAACGTATCGTTTCAGCTCTAATAAAAATGAGACAGTTGTTTGGTGTATTCTGCCAATGTCACTTCTAGGTTTTGGAAGGAAAGGACCACTCCAAAAAAGACCTCAAATATCTATATACTTATATATAGTTTATATAATAAGAGAGTATGATATTGGAAAGGTATAATATTGAATCAGTGAAATAATCCTCAAGTTAAATACAGTATGAATGGGAAAAACATTTTGATTGTGCATTTACCTACAGACATTTATTACATGCCAATCCCCGCTAAGTATCACTCCATACCTGCTCTACTACCGGATGCTGTTATGGATACTCTTCTGTATAATCTGCTATACAAGTGACCATTCTGGGGGACAATGCAGAGATAACCCACCTCCTAACCTAGAGATACGAGTCAAAGCTGACACTTTACAGACAAGACTCAGGCTCTTTATATCAGCTGTGTTTACATTCAGTATATGCTTTAAATGTATGGTGCCATGTGTTACTTGTGTACACTAATTCAATGTAATATACATTTTGTGTATGCTTCAACGAGGGCAGCTTTTGCATTTGAATAATTATCATATTAAATCTTCACACTGTTTGTTTTTTCCGTGCAGAAATAACCAGGTTTTCTATGAAGCGATGCAGAGACACGCAGGTGAAAGAGCCCAATAGCACAAAACAATCAGCTGACAGACAAGAAAATTGCCCAATTTGAGTCTTGCTGGACAAAAGAGGCTGCTGACAAAGATGTAACTAAAGTCTGTGGAGTAACAAAAGCCTCTGAACACGCTCCACCTTGCTAATCACCTCCTGTAGTGCCAGCAAGGTTTCTCCATGGTTGAATTGGTATGGCAAGCTCAGCTGGCCCATATGGCACTCTGGCTAACCCTCACAGCACTAAAGCAAGTTGATAGGGATCAAACATACTAAGATATGCAACAAGGGATGAGTTATATGACCTTTGGCCTTTATGAAGAGACTGCAGGTTAATGTTAGGATGAATAAAGTTTTGCTAATGCTCCTTTGCTGACCTTGGCAGGAGTCTCTGCACACAGACCATCAGAGATATCGAGTGTCAGGTGAGCAGTTCAAGTTCAGTGAACAACAGTGAGCAACATTTTTCTAACTCGAGGAAACACAAATATGTTCTGACCTGTGTTATGTTGAACACATTTTCTTTGTGTGCAATCAGCTGTTAAAAAACGGTTGTCATCCTGCTGAATGTTTGGTTGATTTACGATGATGATTATGATCTCTTCACTACCTCCTATAGATAAAGGTGCCACAGTGTTACAGTAATACAACAGATTTAAGTTGTGCTTTTATTGTATTCAAATATAGTTTCATTTAGTGTCTCTGTGGGGGGATGGAATAATTTATGATCTTCAAAGCAACCTAGAAATGATAAATATGTGATCAAATGTAATCACAGAATTTGCACAAAACATTTTTGCAACTTCTAACTACTTACAATTTAAAGTTACTCGGTAAACTAATTGCATCCTTTTGATTTCTGTTGTAATGACAGTCTTAAGTGTGAGTTTAAGATGTAAAAATGTGTGTCTACCTTAACAAACAGGCCAGACTTCTCTGTCCATCAGCGTTTATTTATATCTTCACATGAAAAACTTTCAATCACCTAAATATAATACTTAAAGACAGCCAAAGATGAATTGATCTTAAAGGTGGGGTAGGTAATTTTGGAGAAACCAACTCGAGTGCGCTAGAATTTGAAAATACACAGCCCGAAAAACATCTGCCACTTCCTTATAGAGCCCCTCCTCCAACACACAGATGGAAGACTGACAGGCAGGTAGGACATCCAGTTATTTTAGCCGGGCCGGCTAAAATGATTGGTCGTGCTTTTTACAGTACCACGGCTTCCACAGATTACATTTTTGTATGGATTTTTTGTCAAAGCACTTAAGATATTCATTGCTATCGGGATGTTAAGAGCATTCCATGGAATATAACAAAAAGTGTATCTCGAGCCGGTTTCTCAAACTTACCTACCCTACCTTTAAGTAAAATGAGTATAGTTTAGTAAGTAACACAGTGTATAATACTCCCTTACAAATACAATTCTTGCATTCGAATAAACAAATGTATAAAATTATTATTAAGCTGGTAAAGGATAAGCTCTTTGTATACTACCAGGTAGCTTGTCAATTTTATTGAGAGATCAATATAATGTATCATTACCTTTAAGGGTACATTCATATATTATAAATATAACCATATTTTGTATTATTAATCTGACTAATAATATTTAAAGTAACCAAAGTCAGAAAATAAATGTGAGGCAGAAGAAATTTGGAAAACTCAAATAAAGCCCCTTTAAAATCGTACTTAAGTAAAGCACTTTACTGAATTCACTTAGTTACTCCACCGTTTAGTGAAGACACAACCTATTTGGGGAAATATGGAATATCTTTTTAAATCCAAGGCTTGATGCAAAGTCAACTTTACCCACTATCTTGAATGAAGTGAAAACCTGTATCTGAGTCAGGATTAGACTTCATTGTGGTGCCTGTTGATGCCTCCTCTTCTGAACCTTCAGAGGCGGAAGACGGACAGGTCTTGTGGGCCATCTGGGGCCTCGTCCGTGCACTCGAGGACGTAGAGACACATTGTAATCATGACAAAGCGGTAAATGTTGTAGACGGTGATCCGTGTTCACATGGAGGCCAAAGGGGAGCAGGAATGGAGGGTGGCAGCAGGCTGGTAAGACCACAGCTGTGGTGAGACTGCAGAGGCAGGTGTTGGGAGTGTCAGGGTGCATCTCACCGAGCCATTGTGTTGATTCCAATTCAATAACTTCCTGCAGCTTCTTCACCAGAACCATCCTGATGTGTTGGGCTTTCCGTGAGCCCAGAAAGGAATTCAGGAAATCTGCCAGCAACGTATTCCCCTCTTCAAACCTCTGACACAGCATCTGTTAAGAGAAGTATCTCATTATTTCCAAACAAACAATGGGTATCATGTTACCCCAGCTAAGACATCTCCTTTGCTTCTACAAAATAAATATTGGCCTCTAAAGACTGAAAAATCTAGGGTGACACACAAACACAGCAGCAGTTCAAACGTTTAGTGTGTTTGTACAGAGTAGGAGTTATGAACTCTTATTTTCTCAAAATGCTTGTCTTTTTGTAAAGTGTATTTGCAGAAGAGACCCATAATGGTATTATTTATGTGTATTGACACACATTATTGACATGTTAATTGAATATTTGTCGTATGTGAACACTAGGAAAGAAAATATACCAGAGACTGAGGTCAATGCTTACCTCACACTCCTCCTCTGCATGGTTTACTGTTTTTAGGAGACTCCACTGAGCACAATGCAAACTGGATTTTTCTGCTGCAAATGTAGGAAATGAAAACAAATTAGGCACACAGTTTAAAAAACTAAACTAAAAACAACACAAATACAGAGTCTCACCAAGTTGTTCTTGTTTGGCCTGGATGATGCTTTGAATGTTTTCCAGTTCTTTGTACTTCATTGCAAGTAGCAACTTAGCATCTCTAAATTTAGGTTTTTGAGAAAGAGCGACTTTGGCTGTTTTCTGATTGGAAAGCAGCATCTTCTCTGCAGCACTCTGCAGCCCCTGAACCTGGAATGACCAAAGATAGTTAAAAAAACACTAAATGGAAAGTTTTATTTTACGTTTCGTGAATGTCCCACCTTATCGCTGCCCCTGATGATGTGTCTTATTCTGTCTTCATCCTCCAGCAGCTCGCGCAGCTCTCGGGTCCTCAGAGCGGCAAAGTGAGACATGATGCACGCGGGATGCTCTCTGCTTCTTCAGTTAACTTTGCTCCCTGTTTGTTCCACGTGCATCCTGCGGGGCGCTATGGGAGCTGCTAATGCTGCGTTTAAGGGCTGTCGGGAAACTAGACGGTTAGAACCATAAACAAATACAGATGACATGTTTTAGGTTTCCCGTAATAGTTTCAGAAATGACGTCGTGGGAAAAAACATACGGTGGTAATAGTCTAAAGTTTTGTTGACATCCTCAATGACACTTACTTTCTGCTTTTGCTAAATTATAAGCGAACAACACATTATGTCATTACCGCAGAGTCATTGTCCGTAGTGATGCTGTAACAACCAATTAGACTTGATTTGTATTATTTCTCCGTTACAGAGTTAGGTTTGGACTTTTCTTCTGGGCTTCATATCCGGATTCCACACTACAAATGGTAAGTATTTCGAGGTATATTTTAGCCCCAATTCAAGGTTATAAAGAAAGAAAGAAAGAAATTCAGTTTTCAGTTTAGGATTGTAGGCCTATTTGTGTTCATGGTGTGTCTGGTTGTAGCCTAGACATGCAGGCTCTAGGGGAAAAAAGCTCAAATAATAGTTATAAGTGACACTTAGATCAATTTGCACTAACTTTCTGTACCCGCAGGTTAATAATATTAACAATATTATTAGGAATATAAATATTAATAGTATAAACAATATTGGTCATGTTAATACTTTATTGTATTATGATGTTAATTACATGTTATTTATTTTAATTATATAATTAAGTACAAATATATAATATTAACACTAATAAGACAGCATGCTATTTTGCTAAATGTTTTTGCAAAATGTTTTTGTAATGTATTGTAAAATATATGCTTTTTAGTATATCGTCCCCTTAATTATTAATATTGTGAAAAAGTCAAACTTTGTCTCTCTTATATTCATGGTATATCAGAATAATATGTTAAATACAGTTTAGTCATTTAAAGGAAAAGCAAAATATGTTGTTGTAGGTGTGTGTGTGTGTGTGTGTGTGTGTGTGTGTGTGTGTGTGTGTGTGTGTGTGTGTGTGTGTGTGTGTGTGTGTGTGTGTGTGTGTGCGTCTGTGTGTGTGCGTGTGCTTTAGGATAACTGTGGCTCAGCTATATGTAGACTCAGTTAATCCTTAAAGACGTCGATGCTGCTCTTCAGTGAAAGTCCTGCTCTGAGACACAGAGGAGTCTCCTGAGAGAAACATGCAGATTAACCTGAACAGACATCAACACAGGACACCTCCACTGTGTGAGTAAAACAAATAATTCACAATATATTTATGATACAGTAATGTTTTTGTGTCATTATTAGTATTATTAGATTAGATTCAGGTGAGTTTAAGGCTGTCGTTGACTAGAGTAGCTCTTGTATTTTCATATTTAATTAAATGTTTTAGCTTAACATGTTGCAAAGGCATATATTTCAAAGAATATGTGTTTGGATGTTACAACAGTTTTGTTTATTGTGCAAGTATCATACATTTTACTTCCCTGTTAAAGCTTCCTTGTTACATAAGAAGCTTTTCAGTACTCCATGCTGTATTTTAGGCCACCGTGAGCTGTACTGTGTGAGTGGACTCTTATCTCCTTCTACACTGGTGTCACAGTGTGATATTTCTTATTTTCTCTCTTTATATTATGAATGTTACCTTAATTCTTATCTGAGGTTTTCATCTTTTATACACAATTCATGACAAGAATACAACCAAGCTTTAAAGCTTCGAGCTGCCCTTTGGAGCCAAGAGGCTCAAACACTGAAGGAATACACTGAATAACACATTTTATTATGATGAATATTAATCATGGTAATACAATATAGCCAAACCTACATTATACAGCAAATATTGTTATTTGGCAAAGCAACAAAAACACAGGCTTTATAATACATCCATCATATAGGTTTCTACCACGTGTTGTTGGTATATACTGTAAGACAAGAGTATACATGTAGTTTGCTGACAATTTCTGAGGTTAGTTTGGTATTTCTCCTTTTTTGGCGAAAGATTTAAGCCCCTAAATACACGTGTCTCCACTTATGTTGCCTGATTACACCTGTTAACAGTAATGTGTGTGTGCATTTGAGTCCTAATTAAAGCACCTGTTTCGTTGTAAAGAAATTGATGTAATTCTTGTTTAAGACAAATATGAATGGACTTTAGAACATCTGATTGATCCATTTAAATGTTGTGGCCCATTAACTAAAGAAGCTGCTAAGCTACTTTCTTAAAAGAGTACTCCATCCGTTTAGCGTTGTACTGTTCTAACTAAAGATTATATCTCATTTATCGGCAGAGTAAAGTGGTTGGTTCTTCTGTTTTCAATTGAACAAAGTCTGTTTTTGTGCTAGCAACTTCACAAAACGTATCATATTATATGGGTTATTTGAAAGATCTAACATAGCCGCTTTCATTTGAAATCTTAGGAAGAGTAAGGAATATTTTAGTCCAATAGTTAGCAGTACTTTGGCAGTTCCAAAATCTGTGACACATTATGAGATTGTTGGGTGCTTTAAATGGGAGAGATGTTGATAACTTTCAGGTTTCTTTTTGGACTAGTTTACATGCTTTAATGTTCAAAATGCCTGTCTCTTTAAGACTCCAAAAGGCCCAATCTGCTGTGATTGACTTGCTTGGGAAAGGTGGTGCACCTTGGCAAAGGTTGTTTAAAGCTGTTGGTAGATAGATCAAATGGAAAGTGGTATAGTGAGCCTTAATGTGACATAGTTAGGTAGTCAAATCTGAACAGCTTTTTGAATCGTATGTATTTGAGCCTAGGCAGCCAACACAAAATGTACTGTGTTATTTGTGTTGTTTGATGGTAGATAACCAATGAATGTTCTTAAGCCTCATGTGCCTCCATTTTTGTTTCCACCCCTTTCAGTGCAGAGATGCTCTCTCTGGTGATTTTACCACGCCGGCTCTGGGTGGTTCATCTGTGAGGGAACGAGGGTCATAGCCACCATGAGTGCTGAAATTGAGGGCAGGGCAGAGCACGACTCGGAGCACAATGGTGAGTTGGCTGACATGGTGGCAGACATGAACGTGGCCGGCCAGCGCATAACCCTGCCCATTGGCTGCAGGCCCGGGCCCCCGAAGACCACCAGGGTCTCAGACAGGAAGCTGTCCCTGCAGGAGAGAGGGAGCCGCATGCCCAGACAGCCCACCATCGAGACCAAACGTGTGTCCATCACAGATGCTGAAGTGAGGAGACTTGAACTACAGAAATGAACTACAAAGTTGGATTTTTTTAAGAGAATTTAAAATGTTGGATCATTTATTGATCGTTTATCTTTTTTATTTCCTGTAGGATTGTGTCCAGCTGAATCAGTATAAATTGAAGAAAGAGATTGGGAAGGTGATTATCATATTCATCCAATGAGCAAACAAAAGTGATGACAATTATTTATAAAGCTGTTTTCCTTTGTTTATTTTCACACCATATAGGGTTCATATGGAGTGGTCAAATTGGCTTATAATGAAGATTCTGAGCAGTACTATGTAAGTTGAAGCTTATGAATTGAGCACTCATGGTCCCTGTGTTTACATGTCCGTTTTACAATAACGTCACTTGCCTTGTGTTCTTTATTCAGGCAATGAAAGTTGTTTCAAAGAAGAGGCTGATGAAGCAGTGTGGATTTTTTCGTGAGTGTCTAAAAATAACAATTAAATGCGTTCAGTTTGTTCCTGATGAGTGGGTGTTGATGGTTTTTGTGTGTAATTTCAGGCCGAATGCCTTCTAAAGGACCAAATCCTGCGTTTCCTCTCGAGAAAGTCTACAAGGAGATCGCCATCCTGAAAAAACTGGACCATCATAATGTTGTTAAGCTAGTAGAGGTGACGCTATACTGGGAATGACTTGATGTCACCAGACTATGTTAACTAATAAGAATTAAACACTCAGTCTTATAAAGAGCTCTAATCAGCCAAAATATGTTACCTGTATTGGTGTATCAAGATGTAGGGCATTTAAAACACATAAAGTACTATAATGAATTATGCCTTTCGTAGAAATGACTAACTAGACTTCAGATATCTGTGTAAACCAGTGCAGAGAGACTTCAGAATTGACTGTCTTGCAGGTGCTTGATGATCCTGATGAAGATGGACTTCACATGGGTAGGGCACATTCATCTGTTTTACAGTAGCTGGGTTTAGTACAGGTGTCAACATAAAGTGGGGGTCTCATTCAATTCTGATTATTTGTATTCAAGCCTTCGATTTGATGACAAAAGGGTATGTTTGTGCATCTCTTTTTCTGTCACAGTCCCAAACTAAGATAGTTTGGGAATTTAAGTTGAACAATAATGTATTATTATGATGTATAATATACATTGACTTCTTCCTTCTCCACCTCTCATGTTGGTCAGCCAGGTGATGGAGGTGCCCACAGACCACCCTTTCACAGAGGAGCAGGCTAACTTTTATTTCAGAGACATCGTCCTGGGAATTGAGTACTGTAAGTTAACACGATTTCATTATTAAGTAAACAGAGAGTTAAAAGATCAAGGGTACTTGTAATCTTTGCTTTAAGAAACATTGCGTTGTATTTTACCTGTATTCTCTATGTCTTGGGATTCAAGACTAATTGTTCAAAGAAAGATAATTTCATTATGGCTGGCATAATGATCTATGACTACACTTACATTAAGTAAGATTCCCCACAGTTTCCTGTACCTGTCCTAAAATGATGGCAGAGCTGATATTTCTCCTCAGCAGATAATCAACACGTTCACTTCTTTGCCTGCTTTACATACTGTCTATCACAGTGCACTACAACAAGATCATCCACCGGGACATCAAACCCTCCAACCTGCTGCTGGGGGACGACGGTCACGTCAAGATCGCAGACTTTGGTGTGAGCAACGAGTTCGAGGGGACGGACGCCAACCTGTCATGCACAGCGGGGACGCCGGCCTTCATGGCCCCTGAGATGGTGACTGAACACGAGCTGAGCTACAGGGGGAAGGTGAGACAAAACTTCTTCTGTTGGCCA